CCCCACCCAGCTCGGCCGGGGGGCTTCCGAGTGGGAAGGGCCCTGGCCTGGCCTGGGGTGCAGGACAGCAGGAGGCAGCCTCTCTCCTGGGGTGAATTTCCGTAGAGCCTTCCTCCCTCCCAGACACAGGTGTGTGTTGTAGACGCGCTGTTGTCTGAGGCTGTGCACGTGTGTGTGCGTGTGTGTGTGTATGTGTGTGTGTGAGCGTGTGTGTGTGTGAGCGTGTGTGAGCATGAGCATCCTGCACCAGCTGTGAGTTCCATGACGGGTCAGAGCCGGCCTGTGCCCTCCAGGGGCTGTCCCTTGAGGCTCCTCTGGCCCAAGCAGTGGGCTGGGCAGGGGGCCTGAAATCTCTGCTCATGCAGCCACAGGGGCCTCATGTCCATGATATCGGGGGCCCTGGTGCCCCAGACAACCCTGCCCCTACCCTGCAGAGGGGCATGACCGAGGCCGGAAGGGGTTCACCCCGCTGCGGAGCCCAGATGGGGGTGAAGCCAACTCTGAGACCCAAGAGCCTCTTGCTCCTCTGCCCTGGGCATGGCCCTTGGGGAGTGACCAGCGGCCACCCCTGCCCTGCAGGCCTGAGCCACACACACCCGGCCGCGTCCTTCGCCTACAGGACGCCTGTCATCTGTTTTTTCCTGGTTCCTGGAAGGCCCGTCCGGTGGGCCTTAAAAATAGCTCCGGAAGGCCTGGCACCGGCAGCACCTCCATGGCAGCAGTCCCAACCCTGCTGCCCCACTGACCAGAGGGCTGGGCTCCGTCCCTTGGCCTCCACCCCCCCAAGGTGCCCCACAGTGGCAGCGCCCAGGACCTACCCACCGCAGGGTCGCAGTCCTGACCGGGGCTGGACCTCTTCAGGTTCCCCTCCTCTCAAGGCAGATGCTTCCCAAGGAGGGGGGAGGCTGGATCCCACCCGAGGCTGCACCCCATCGCCCGTGCGGGTGAGGAGGGGCCGTGGAGAGGCCGTGGAAGGGGACCCCAGAAACGGCCTGCCGCTGCCCTGCACAGCCAGCCCCCCAGGTCACCCTGTCCTGTGGGGGGAGGAGCGGCACTGTCCCCATGGTGACAGGCTGGGCTGGCCTCCCTGGATTAGGGAGGAAGAGGAGAGTGGACAAAAGGGCCAGGCCACTCACGCTGTCTCCCACAGTCACACACACACACACACACACACACACACACACACACACACACACACACCAGGCAGCACGGGGCTGCTGTCCGGGGAGCTGGGAGGACCTGGGTGGCTGAGGGAGCAGAGAGGGCTGAGAGGGGGGAGCAGGGAGGGGTGCCTGGGCACGATGGGTGGCTCTCCCAGCCCTCTCCAGCCATAGGCCGTGGCCATGATGGGGCAGCTGGGGGTCCCCCAGGCCTGGCCTGGGTTGAGGGGCATCCGGCCAGGGCACAGTGGGTACCTTTGGGACGTCAGGCACAGCGGGGAAGGGGCCGATGGAGGAGGCACGGGGACGGGCATAGGACAGGCCTGAGGAGGGCCGCGCGGGGCAGGCAGGACCCCAGGAAACCGAGGGCCCGGGGAGCAGGCCCCCCAGTATGTACTCCCCACTCCCAGGTCACAACGCCCCAGCTCCAGGCACGCGTCTGTGTGTGTTGGCCTGTGTGTGCATGCAGGGTTGTGTGTGTGTGACGCTGTGTGTGTACATCTGCCGCGAGTGTGTGCGATGCTCTGTGTGTGTGCGCGCGCGGGTGTGAGTGTGTACACGTGGGTGCCGCCCTGCACCCCCTCTGGCCTCCACTCCCATTGCAGGAAGCCCTGGTCCGCCTGGGGCCGCCCCCCGGGCCTCCACTGGCCTCCACACCCGCATCGCAGCCTCTCGCCCACCGGGAGGGGAGCCAGCAGGGCCAGGCCAGGGTTTTGCAATGTTCCCCACAGGCGACCGGGCAGGGCCTGGGCTGGGTGGGGGTGAGTCCGTGGGAGCTGGTGGACAGAGTCTGCGTGAACTCTGCCCTGGGACGCGGCCAGGCCACACCCGGGGCACCGCGTCTGCCCCCGGCCTGCTCCTCGGCAACGCTGCTGGGGCCTCAGACCTGGGTCTCTCCCTCCCCATCCCTCCCCGGGACCACCCCGACTCGGCCTCGGTACCAGCCTGGTCCCCCCCTCCCTCCGCCACTGACTCACCCATGCCAGAGCCGTGGCACATCGGCTACTCCCGGCCTGGGTCTCCCCGTCCGTGGGGACCCTCTGGTCACCCCTGTGCAGGGCCCGGAGGAGGGGCCAGTGAGGCGTCTGAGGTGCTTCTCCCAGCACACAGTAGGCGCCTATCAGATGCAGCCGTGGGGGCTCTGGGTGTTGCGGGCACAGGGTCCAGGGGTGAGGGGTGAGGGGTGAGGATGAGGCCCTCAAGGTGGAGGAGCCCCACCCCCGGGTGGCCTGGGGGAAGGATGCCCACGGTGCCCTCCTGTGAACTTGGGGCCCGGCCCACGGGCTGGGGTGACCGCTGGCCTTG